TCGGCCTGATCTCCAGGTCGATGTAAATTGTAACAAAGGTTTAGGCCTCTAGAATTCTTCAATACCCAATATTATATGTCAAAACCTGTGTTTGCACAATATGGAATACATGAGCGAATTTGGACAATGTGTTTGCCATATGGTTGTTCATTTGGAGTTTTAATGTTTCTTTAAACATTTTAAATTAACATGACATATTTTTCAGAGAGGTCAATGGAGTTAATGTTATGTGGAATTAAATGGCCGATTGTATTAAGAAAGTGGTAAAAGAAGGTTTAAGAGAAACTAGAGGGGAACAAATATTTCGACAAAAAATATTGGTGGAGTGAGGAGGATAAATGCTATAAACGGGAAATGATCATGTTATAAAGCTTGTCGTTGTAATATAAATGATCAAAACTTGGAAAAATATAAAAATAATAAGAAAAATTCTAAGAAAATAATAAATAAGGTTAAACTTAAAATATAGTAAATTCTCAAAACAGACAAGACTTCTTTTTCATTCTTCTATGCATGTTTCAAATGAACCATTTTATTTGATATGTTATGAAGTATTGGGACCAGCCCCAGTATATTCTTATGTTGGCTTTACATATTATGTTTCTTTTATTGATGATTGGTCTGGTGCCACTTGGGTATAATATTTGTTGAAATAAAAACAGAAGTTTTTCCTGTGTTCAAAGAATTTTTCAAACTGATTTTCACTCAATATAATAGCAAGATTAGAATTATGCGAATTGATAATGGCACAAAGTATGTGAACAAAGTTTTTTCTGAGCATTTATATAATCTTAGTTTGTGTATTGGAACACCTCAGCAGAATAGAGTTGTTGAAAGGAAAAACATACACCTTTTGAATACTACAAGGTCTTTGATGTTTCAGATGCATGTTCCAAAAATTTATTGGACTGAAGCTGTTTTAACTGCTTGTTATTTGATTAACAGACTTTCGAGTAAAATTCTTAAGGATAAATCACTCTTTGAAGTTTTGAAAAATAGAAAAATTGATTTGTCTCATTTGCATATGTTTAGATGCATGTTGTATGTTCATGTAGCTGGACACAACATGGATAAACTTGATAAACATTCCAATAGATGTATTCTTCTTGGATACTCCTCTACTCAAAAGGAATACAAATATTATGATCCCACAAAAAAAAAATGCATATTTCCAGAGATATTCAATTTGTTGAAACATGATCATATTTTCATGAAACATTGGAGAATAATTTGAAAAATAAGACTTAAGGGGAGTGTTCAAGAGGTCGTTTGCCTTTGCCTATTTGTAGGTAAAATAATTTATACAAAGAAACAGATCCTGATATATATATATATATATATATATAGGAATCGATGCAAATTTATCAAATTAAGCTGTTCTTGAGCTCCCTTTGAAAATTGTGTGGAAAACTTCAAACCCAAATTTCTTCACTTCAAAGGCTTTCTCGACATCTATCTCATTACTCTGTGAAATCAGGGCCACAATTTGTAGATTTTGATTCGACCGTGCTTCCACTGCATTACTCTGATTCCAATGCCCTAAATCTCTTGAATGCTCCACCTCTTAGATTTCCTTAAGATCTTCATCTTTTTCTTCATCAAATATCAGTTCACCCACGTAATCATCATCATATATTGGATCTCTTATAAGATCTTATTCATCATCTAAGTATGTATCTAAAATCGGTATAGATCCCAATCTACAACTTGCTTATTTTCGACATGACCTAAGCTAAAATTAACCTTGTTCGCCTTCAAATTATGTAGATCATCTAAATCCCAAGATTCATTCTCTCAAACATGAGGCTCCCAACGTAGAGCGTGTGCATAGAACAGGTGGTCAAAGGAAACTTCATTCCGCTCCAACTTTGAGTCGGACTCTGATTTGCATCATTCTCCATAAAAACCTTTATGATTTAGATATAACCCCATAGATTCCTCTTTGTTTAGGGCACGATGTTGTTGACGCTACTTGCGCAGCAATAGCTCTATAAACCTCTCCGTCAAGTTGTTGATTTCTTTACGCGGTTGGATCAGATTGACTTCCTTATGGCTAAGACCTCTGCAATAAGCCATCACAATCTCCAGCTATTCTCAAATCACACTCTGATAACACATAATGCAGGAAAGAAATGTGAGACATTGAATCCAAATTTTTCCTTAACCTTAAACGAGTAAAATTAATAATAATGGAGAAAGAACATGGTTGTAAATCAAGTCAGTAGAATAATAACTCATTTCTTTCATAAAATAAAATTTATTCCCATATAACATATATCACCAAAATATGACACCGAATCTTTTATAAGCCTATAAAAACCTAAATTAACTTAGATCCAAGTAAATATTTAAGACTCTAAAATACCCCTAAAATAATATCAAAATTTCAAAAATACCCCTATGAACAGTACCATGTGAACGGTACAAAACAGTAATGTGTGATCGTATCATGAATAATACTTGTGAATAGTGGTTAAAAAAATAAAAAAACACTAGAACCTAAATAAAATACCCAATTGTCAATGCTTCTTGAGGAGGTTTTCTGTTGGCCAAGAAAGGACCGTATGATGAGGGACTTATAGAAGGATGGATGTTATTCAGTGAAGTCTACGATATATTTTGTGCCATTTGCCGCTGCCAATAAAGTGTAGCTGTTCAAGGTGCCTTAACCAGTAAAGATGTTACCTGGTCAGCAATTAGGGACCACACCTTATTGGTAGGACAACTGCAAAAGGAGAGGCCTGATTACCTCAAACTAATGATAAGATATTTTTACACACTCCAATTACCGGGGCATTGGATGTTTTTCTTGTACGTCTACGTCTGGTTGTGCACCTTCTAAAAGTAAATGAATTTTCATTTTTCCAGAGAAAAAAAAATTAATGATATTTTATTCATGATTAAAAAAAAATCAACATGAAAAATATGTGAAATAGTTGGTCGTCCACGTGTAACAGTTACCATAATTTTTTTGGTTTTGGTAAATTCTAGAGAACTCGGTCCTATTCTTGATTGAGTCAGACCCCATAAAATGGGATTTAAAAGTCATTGGATCATACTAATATCGTCTGGTTCGACTATTCAGACTACCCGGAATGAGGGAATAAAAAATAGGACCGAGTTCTCTAGAATTTACCAATTCACTATTCAGAACTAGGCTATTCTTCGTCTAGAATCGGGTAGCCTTATCATCAGAGAATCGGGCAATTTTCTAGAATTACATTGCTAACACCTCTTTTAGCATGAAAATGCTCGATTCACCGTTGTCAAAATATCCCAAATTCATCATTTTTTTTAGTCCTCTACCTGATCTATAAAACCGTTGTTTGGATCAAGAAGCATGTTTGAACAGATCAAGAGTTCAAAGTTGGGGGCCTTTATTGAAAATCCAATCTTGAATCTATGGATTTCATAGGGGATTTTTCTTTGAAAGATGTTATCTTCAATTTACAGTATTTTATCTTTTTGTCCTTTGTACAATGCTTTTATATATGGGTGCAATTTGAAAAGAGCCGGGGCTCTAAACAATCAAATTAGAGCCCACCTTCAAATAGTAACGAGAAATATGGCTTCGATATTGGAAATATTTGCGATAACCTTAAAATATATTTTTATCTTTATTTATGAAATTTAAAGCTTAAAAAATAATATAGATCGAGCAGATCTATGAACACTTATTTTTAAAAATTGACGGTCCAAAAATACGTTACAAGATGACTATTTCCAAAACTTGAAATCCATTTTTTTTCTCATGTCCATGCATCATAATGTCGAGATGATCAATTTGAGGATATTTGGGCATAAAAACAATCTCTTGTAGTAAAATTTTTGAGGTGGACTCTAATTTGATTGTTTAGAACCTTAGCTCTATATAAACTTTTCCTTGGGATTGTTTTGCTCATTTTTAATTTTTCATCCAAAGAAACCTCGGATTTTTTAAATAATCCTACATTTTGTATTTTTGATGCACGATTTGGTTGGGAATTTTGGTTAAAGAGTGTTAGGCACGTTTTAGAATAGTTATTTGACTATTTCCTCCTCTAATGTGTAAGATCAATTTTTCGTGATAATTTTTCAATACTCGGCAAATATTAATATCCGATATTTCAAATAAATGTCATAACTATATGAATTGAGATAATTTTAATGTTAGATCTAGCCATTACGTGCCAATTAATAGCTAGATCTTGCATTTTTTTCATCGATGTTATGATTTATTTACAAGAAATACGTATTGTTAATCTGAAAATTGTCAAGTTTCCAATTTGAATCCCCCGACTCGTTCCTCAACCATTTTTCTGAGCAACACCACTATTATTGGGATGACAGTGGTTGGGACTAGTGATCTCATCATTCATTTTGGCTTTAAATTATATATTCCGACCTACATGGATGTCACTATTGTAATTTACCCCATTTTCGTCTATGAAATGAATATTTCGTAGTCAAACATGTGCCGGAATCTCATTATTTATATCCTTCCAATAATTTCATTAAAATTAGTAACATAATGGTCAATTTTTTATTCACAATCCAAAATAGCTCAAATTTTAAAATTTTTTTTACACTAATCTTTGATACGAAGTGGTCACAATTAATCTTGACCATTGGATATAAAATTAGATGGATGAATTTATTCCATTGACCAAGCTCAAACTTCAAAAAAAATTTTCTCGAACTTTGTAAAACGCCCAAGCTATCAGATTTCGCATTGAATGGTGGTAAGTAATTGCATAAAAGGTAAATGGTCTCATTGTATACAATCCCTTGGAATGTTTTTGGCTTTCAAAGAGATGAATGGGTTCAATCTTCCTATCCAAACAGGTTTGACCCGATAGGGAGCCGTTCCAATTTTTAAAACACCGATACTAAAAATTACTATGCTACATTGTTTCACAGCTAAGCATCTTATACTTTCTAATGTCACATGAATCAATTGCCCCGTCAAATGAGGACATTATAATTTTTGCCATGGCGTGAGAGCAAATTACACATACGAAGAAGACACAAGGAAAACTCCATTCAAATAAGATAGATAAGCTTATCAGTTGATGATGGGATCTATTTACATGAAACTTCATAGGCTCCATCCCATGAAAATCAGACGAGTGGAGGTGATCCGGTCACATGCATTACAACACAACAACATATATAAGACTAAAAAGGGAGATAAAAAATAAGACCATTGCACAACCCTAACCACCTAATTTCCCATCAGACAACTAAGGTTGGCTGTCAACTTGTACCAAATATAAACAGTCTTCTAGTATATACAATTTCAAATAAAAAAGAGCCCATTGAATGGCACAAGTAATTGAAGGAATATGGATGCACAGACTCACACCAAGTAAAAGCATTCGTGAAATAAATAGAGCACACTAGCTAGGTATGCAGTTTCAGAAACGGGCATACTCTGGATTGAAAGCTAAGGCCTCCCTGTGTATGAGCTCCTTAATCTGCTGCTCATCCACTGCTTGTTGCTCAAGCTCGACGGAGAAGGGCTCGGGGCAGGTAGGCTCATCTCCCTCATCATGTAAACTTGCAAGATATGGATGAGCAAGAGCCTCTTCAACTGAAACATATAAAAGATTTAAACTTTATTTTAGTGAACCTTTGGAACAATCAGTTACCAAGAACGGAAAAGAGACAAAAGAAAATACCAAGATAGAACTGTCATTCTATCCCCCCACATGTGAAAAAATAAAGACAAGAGGCGGAGGAAATGAGAGATGGGAACCCACTAACCTCCTTGTTGTCTTAACTTACATGTAGTAGGAAGAGATGTGAATCATGAGCTAAGTGGCTGACTAACCTGTAATTCTTCTAGAGGGGTTAAATGTAAGCATTCTTTCCATAAGATCGATAGCCAAAGGATGGACATGAGGAAACTTCTCGCGAAACAGCTGCCGAGGAAGAGGAGGGAGTCGCCTCATGTATCTTTTTGCATCTTCACTGTGAATGAAATCTATGTCGGACTCTGTTGGCGTGCCAAGCAACTGAAATTTTGAGAACATACAAGAAAACTACACTCAGGAGAAAACCAGTAAGTAAAAGTAGGGAACCAAAAAAACAAAAAGAACCCATCAAAGTTAATTTATTAGAAACCAAAGAAGTCTCATTTTTCCTCAATAATGTCTGTAATTTTCCACACCTCTTAGATTAATGGGGCATTAAATTGAACTTTGAGAATGGTCCAAAGGATAAGAGTTCAAGTTACTATCAGTCTAACTTCCAATCAGCAAATAAAATCATGTCATCCTTTCCAGTATATAATACATAGATCTCATGTTTCATCTTCACAAAACTAGACCCATGCTGCATGGAAAAGTATTAAGTACAATCGAATTGAATATGGGAAACCATAGTGCATTGGGGCAATCACCATCCAACGAAACCATACATGGTGATGATAAGAGTTAGAGACCTGCCATTGGGGTCATGTCCTATTCTGATGGGTTTCACTCTGTTCCCATCATCTTGTCCTTTTTTTTTTGAATAAGGTTAACTTTTCCATCATCATGTCTCATATTATCATAACATTAGGTTATACCAATTAAGAAAAAGGCCAGAACACCATTCCCAATTTAATGAAACTTCACAAACCTAATATCTAAATGTGACTGATATATTACCTCCGTTTGTAATCGAAGCTGATGTACTTGATCCCTTCCAGGAAACAATGGCTTTCTGTTCATTAACTCCATGAAAATGCAACCAACAGACCATATATCAATGGCTGCTGTGTAGTCCTTAGAGTTGAGAAGGAGCTCAGGGGCTCTGTACCATCTTGTCACGACATACTCAGTCATGAAGTCATCTTCAGTAGAGGTACGAGCTAGGCCAAAATCACATATCTTCAGATCACAATTGGCATTCAAAAGAAGGTTGCTAGGCTTTAGGTCTCTATGAAGTACATTAGCAGAGTGTATGTATTTCAATCCACGAAGGATCTGATATAGGAAGTACTGCAGAAGCCACATGAGAGATGAGAGACAAAATTCAGTTAAGCAAGTAAAATAAGAGGCTTTATGATGTATCTAATTAGACATTAGGAAGGAAATTATATATAAGACCTGACAGTGCTCCTCTGATAAATCTTGGTTTGACTGAATTATGTGATGCAGATCCGTGTCCATGAGTTCAGAGACAATGTAGACATCATTGAACGCTTCCCGGCGAGGTGGTGGGATGATGTCCTTGATGGATATGATCTGTTCAAATACATAACATTCTTCTTTGAGAATCGTAAACATGGGTCACCAGGTCAAGCCACCAAATATATAATCAATACATAACTACAGGGAGTATCTCAAATCACTCTGAATGCCTGCTTAAAAAAGACAGCTACATAAATTACAATTAAAATTAGGTAAAAGCAAAGCTAGCATTAAAATATAGTCTAAGGCAGTCTCAACTGTTTGCCAACTTCAGTAACATGGTCCTTTTGATTTGATATGATGCTTAATCATCAATCATATCCAACTACCTATTCATCAGAATATCAAAATGACGATCCACTTTAGATGCGCTGTAAAAGTGCATACACACACACACACATGTATGCCAACAGATGGTTGAAGACCAAAATTTGTCATTTCAGCATATTACAACTGAATATATTTGAAAAGCTTAATGCAGACTGTAATAGCAAATATGAGTTGCATGTTCCCAGATTTCACGAAAACAATCATCACAAATGTTCATGCAGAGGTTGTCCTTGTTTATCAGTGGCTTGTACTCCGATTGCCATAAAAGTATATATATATATATATATATGGTGTAAAAGAAGTAGCTTACATTTTCATGATCTATATGACGAAGGAGTTTGATTTCTCGAAGTGTCCTCTTCGCATCTATCCGATTATCGAAAGCACGAGCTATCTTTTTTATTGCCACATGTTCATTGGTCACTGAGTTGAGGGCCGAGCTATATAAAACAAAGATAAAACAAATAAAAACAAATACAACCATAAATTTATTTGGTTTGATAGGCCATACATACATAAGGACAAGAAAACTGAATGTCAAGACCCAACACATCCACAGGCGGGGGCTAGAGAGAAAGTGAGAGACCATGGAAAACACTATCATTTTTGCGGATGTCTATAAATTGACTCAGAAATGCAATGTCGATTGATATAAAGACACAAACCAACTCTGAAAAATTTTCCACAACCACTATCAATACTCAAAAGCAGTCTTTGCAGACTGGGCCGAGTCCGCCTCGGCCTCTAGCCAAGGTGAGTATGCCCTAAGTACATTGTACACTTCCCTGGAAAACAGGAGGCGTACACATGTGTACACTCTACTAAGCAAGAAGACTCTCTTTCTCTTTGTATATCAAACCATTCGGTGCCTCCTCTCTTTCTCTCTCTAAATCACACCACTAGAGAGAGGGCAGCATCTTTATCTCTCTAAAAAACAGGGCAGCACCTTCTCTCTCTCTCCCCCCCAAAAAAGCAAAAGCCTAGCATCTCCTCTCTCTCCCATATCGATCGCTCCCTCCCATTTTCTGACTCACTCTAGTCTCTTCGGTCCCTAAGTGACAAGCTCAAAGAAAAGTACAGCAAGCACAGGCTTCAACAATGGCTCCCTCTGCCTCGAGCTAGGTCTCCTTAACTGAAGGAAGAGAGAGATGTGGCAAAATTTGGCCCACGCTCTCTCTCCTCTGGCCAGGTGCCCAACCCCGTCTCCTGGGCACATGAGGCTTTTTTCCCTTTTTTTTTGATATATTTTTTTTTTGGGTGGTGTACAGGACTGGACTCGGTCGAGTTAACGGGCTGAGGCCAGCAACCTGGCTCGAGTCAAGTTAAAAACATTGCTAAAAAACACAAATATTATATCGGATAACTCTGTAGGAGGATTCAAAATTGGTACATAATGTAGCAGATGCCAACACCTTAAACAATAAACCCTATTCAAAAGCACTAGTCACCAAGGCCATATCATGAAACATACCGAACATACGCCATTATAACATCAGACACACATGGTCAAACCTCAGCCGATTGAAACAAGCTAAAACCTTATCGAACAATTTAAATGATGTCAGTACAAGTTCCTTCAAAGTACTCATTTTGGATGTTACAATTGAGTCATTTCTTGTCAAAAATTAAGCTAAGCTGCATTTGTATTAAGGCTAAGAAGACATTAAGTCTCTAAATCCAATGGGCATGTCCATTTTCTGTTATTTATAATTTTTTCATCTCCCATAAAATCATATTTTAGCGCAACTAATTCACTGCCTTCCACAAATAGGCAGGCTCTGCTGATCAATTAATTGCTCAATTAAACACAATAATCAGATATGGCTTTCGGACTAAAATTTGGGTAGATAGAACCATGATCGAATTAAGATGAAAGAAGAAAAATAAATAAGTCTCCGCAAATTTTGGCCCAATTTACAATTTTTCATAACACAACATGAAAAAATTGGTTCAAGTTATCTTCATTCAAAAAAAAAAACATACATGAAAAAATTGGTTAGATTTCACCAAGAGGAAAAAACAGAAACAAGGGAATCCACAAATTCATCACCTAAATTATATTCCTGAATCAAAATCAATTTCAGAAATCCTTCCAAAACACAACATAAACTACATAATCGTTATGAAAACCCTAGAATCTCAGAATTCCAAACGGAAATATCAAAAGAATAAAAACCCAATCAAACAAAGTGACCAAAGCAAGCCCATTTAGGTATTCAATTCGCACAACCCAAAACGAAAAATTCGAGAACGATGAAAAATTTAGGAACAAAGGACAATTTCTTACCAGATGAGACCATAAGCTCCACGTCCAATGGGAATAAGCGGGGGACTATATTTGGAAGTGATTTCAAATCGATTCCCAAATATATCGTACTCCACGAATCGTCCGCCATGAGTGGGAATAGCAGGGAAGCCATTGGGGGTTGCTGTGTAATTTTCAGGCACCACTGTCCCCATTTCCACCAAATAACCAAACTTTCAGAAAAAAAAAAAACAATTCTAGAGAGAGAGGAGAGATGATTTGTTGGGTGATGAGATATCAAGATTCAGAACAAAACGAAACAAGGCTCAATGAGAGTTGAGCGCAATGAGGCTCTGTTTATAATCAGAGACGAGGTTTATTGAGCCTAGAGAGAGAGAGAGAGAGAGAGAGAGAGAGAGAGAGACTTCAGGGGGGAGGGGGAGGAAGAGACGCGGTGCGTGCAGGACGCGGTGATGAAGTTCTCTTCAGCCGCCCCCCTCCCCGGCTTTCTGGCAGGTACTGTTAGAGAGAGAGAGGAGAGAGAATAGGTGGGTAAAATGTCAAAAGATAAGGCGAGAGAGAAAAAGAGGAACAGCAAACGCGTGGGGTCAAATGTGAAGAGATACGACTGTAATCAAGTATGATTAAAGCGCCATGGAAAAAGTTTATACAAGTTGGCAACCTTACGATGTATAATGTTTACGATGTATAATGTACGTATACCTAAAAACCGATTAGGGAAAGTCTAGAAAACCCTCAAATTCATCATGTCGATTTCGTGATTTATAGGCGATTTCTAATCCTAAAAATACTTTATCTTCTAACTCAATTATGTCTATTTTCAAGATTTTGTATATTTATAGATCTATTTGATTTGAAAACTTTAAATTTAATAATTAAAAACAACAATAAATTTTAATATCATTAAAAGGTTTTCCGATACTGAACTTGTATTTTTAATATAGTTTTGAGGTGGACCTTACCTCAATAGTATAAGGTTGACACCTTAGACTAGCGCATGCCACGGAAAGAGATGGAATTGCTTTTCTTGTAGAGCGAAAAAGTGAGAGAGAGGAGTTGGTGAGGAAGCGCGCTGAAGATTCCAAGGAACTTCCATTCTTCCTGTTCAAACAACCGTAAAGAAAGTACAACTCCGTCAACAGGGAACGGTTGCTGCATCGTATAATATAATATAATATAAAAGAAATGGAAGTAAAAAGTCCAGGAGTGGAGCCCTCCATACAATAGCTTAGGAGGCAGAACAGCCTTCTTGGCTAAGCAATTCACCTCTCCATTTTTTTTTATTGTTATTATTTTAGCTTTTTTTTTTTTTTTGCTATGGGTCATTTGGGTAGTTGGATATGTAAATCTTAGATATGATTTGCTACATGCTTATGTAGATTTTGTGAGAAAACTTGTATTTTGTATATTCGGACTTGAGGTCCCTATGAATATGTATTACAGAGCTTATCGAATATGTGAACAAGAGCCTGAAATTATGGGGTCGAATATGTTAACAACAACCCCAATTTATACAATTACAAAGCTGTGAGCTACTAAAAAAACTAACATATAAAATGAACTAAACATATGAAATGAACCACCTTCTTAATATGGGTACACATGAAAAGAATACAAATATTGTACCAAAAAATAAGTGTAGGTTTCTATAATTCCACATATTTTAGTATATGTAAAAGCTGATTTTAAAAACAATGTTGCTCGAAGCCGAAAGAACCCAGTATATAAAAAATAACCATGAAGATGAAAACCATGTTTTGGTTGTTTGATGTTAATGCATTTTAGCCATTCATTCTATAAGTCGATGATTCCCTAAAAATACAAGACTAATAAAAAAGATTTTTTGAGAATAAGTTATCAATAATATAACAAATAAATTAGACATTTCCAATCATATTTTTTGATATTTTTATAAGTTGAATTGTGATTCTATCTCTCTCTCTC